TGTTATCATGGTGGCAGCCATGAAGAACTTGTGCAGAGGAGTAGAGATCAGTCAGTATCTGATTATGGTGAGCGACACTGAATTCAGGATATAAATTCCATAAAATAGATGGAAATGATTGGGCATTGGGCATACTTTCCTTCTATTTCAACTAACACTTTTTTCTTTGCTAGTTGTAATGTTCTTCCGGTTTATTACTGCTGGCGAAATAAGAAAGCGGTCAGAGTTCTATGAACCATTTATACAAGGATTAACAAATGCGTCAGTGGAGCAGGTTGGGTTCCTAAATCTTTTCTTGGTATTGTATATATGCTTACAGAAATTCTCGACATTAAAACTTTTAAATATCGAGGCTTCATTTTTCTTTGCGCTAGTTGGTTAAAGTCAATTTAATGGTTGCATGGAGTTGCCCTCTGGAGATATCAGTATCAGATACAGACTAATGCTATTGATTGATTTTTGCGAGGGAGTGTTAGCACGAAATAAGTAATTTTGTGGTTTGATGTTGTGTAGTTCTGCAAGTCATCAGTGGAACCCATGGGTGAAGAGAGTGATCATGTTCACATAACAGCTCTTTCGGATGCTCTGGGAGTAGCAATACGTGTGGTTTATCTCGATAGAAGTTGCCAAGATAATGGCACTGTCAGTGTTAACCATCACGATTTTGTTCCTACAAACAACACTGGTGATGCTCAGCCATGCAAACCGTTTGTTAACTTGCTTTACAGGCCGGGTCATTATGATATTCTCTACCCAAAATAACATGTTTACCCAGCAGCACTAGCAAAGCTGGTAAGCAGCTGTTTTTTTTTTTTTTTTTTTTTNNNGAGAATTTCTTGTTCGTTTGTTATATAGACCACAAACACGACTGGATGAACTGATTTAGTTGATGCTGTGGTTTCCTTTCTTCTTTTTAGACACTCTTGAGCGTTCATTTCGAATGTTTGGCTTTTTCCTTCAAAATATTTATCGAATTTCTGTTTATATATTTAGAGGGGTGTATTCATTTTAGATTTTAAAAAACATTTTACGGCTTTTTCAGAGGGAGTTCATTTCATTTGAGATTTAAGAGGAAACTTTGGAAGTATTAATTTTAGAGGTGGGGTTTGAGATAAAATTTTGTGTGAGAGGCTTTTGTTTATAAAATATCATAAAAAATCTTGATAAATTTCAATGCCAAATAAGTTAAATGTCTCGTTGGTCGTTCAAATTTTTTGAAATCTCAAATAAATATTTAGGATTCATAACACTTATTAAATTGTTTAAAATAATTACTAACAAAATTCTTAGGAAATGCTTGAATACAATAGTTTAAAAAAAAAAAATCAACATTTTTAACTCAACTGTTTCTCTAACTCAATTTTAACTCAATTTCACCGTCATTAATATTATCAATATAATTAAATAATATCAATCAATTATTTTTACATACAACATCAACTTCAATTCACTATTCATCCGTTCATATAATTTTAATTAACTATCACTTCAAATCATTTTCTTACTTTTACATCAATTTAAATATTATTTTTAATATACTCACTAACAACTAACCAATGTCATTACACATTCCATTGGAATTAGTCTTTAACGTTATCTGTTATGTTGTTTAATATCCGATTGAGGATTAACATCACGACAATATTCATTTAAAACTACATTTCAATTCCTTAAGAGAAACATTCCAAGACCAAGGGGGCTAGTGGCATTACAAGAGAGATATAAAATGTAAACAAACACGAATAAACGGTCATAATTAGGAGGAGCCTAAAAAGTTATCCTCATACTTGATTAAAACAAAGTTATACATCAATCACAACAAAAATTCCTTCAAAGTTGTTCCCTGACCTAGCCAAAAAAAAAAGAGGTGAAAATTAGAGCGCAAAACGGGGGGAAAGGAACAAAAAGTGCCGAGACAAAGGAGAAGCCGCCTCCACACAACTCTCTATACATAATACAGAATAG